TGATCTTTCTAATTCTTAAGGTTATAACTAGGTTACAATTAGATTACACTTTCAATGCTTGTCTTGGGTTATTTATGCTTGTTTCTATTTAAATATAATTTAAAAGAGATATAAAAATAATTTTAACAGTGAAAACTTAAAGTATAAATTGATATATACTTGCATTGATGATTAATTGTAAAATTTCAATGGTGAATATTAACTTGGATCAAAGTTTTTTTTTTGGTTAATTTTGATATTTTAATTAGAATTGTTATCTAGTTATTTTTCTTATAATTATTTTCGTTAGACTTGAAACCCATCCTCATCCTTATTCACGTACATTAGAATAGATACTCTACTTGAAAATGATTCTTTCTTACATTACTATATATATTTTTAAAAGTTTAGATTTTATATTTGGTTGCCTGCAACATCATACCAACAAGGTAATTTATATTGAAGGAAGGTTTGCTCATTATGGCTTTGAATGTGTTATATCAGTGGTGTATGCCTTAAATGATCTATAACTCTTAAAAAAGATTTATGGAATCATTCTATGGAGTTACAGACAATATTACTAAGCCATGATGTCTCATGCGAGATTTTAATAAAACTATATTTCCTTCTAATATAAAGGGGGGACTACTATTACATGTTATATGGAAGTATTTGGAGATTGCATAAATGCTTGTGATTTGCTTGAATTATCTTTAATGGGTAAAAAGGTTCACATGGTCTAAGGGTAACTCAGCTAGTGATATTGATTTTTCTTCTGAATGGTTGAAAAAATTCCCTTCCTCCCTTTTGTGTTGTTTTTCTAAGTCTATTTTTGGTGTTGGATATATACTCAAACCTGATGATATCTAATTTTGGAAGAATGGTTCAGGACTTCTAGAGGTTTTCTATGAATTCTATCTGTGGTGGTCAAGAAGTTATGAAGGTTGTCAAAGTCCTTGAACAAGCTCTGAGAACATGGTGGAATAGTGATATTGTTGATAACATTGGTGAAAAAAATTAAAGCTTTAGAGAAAGAAGATAAGACTTTAGAGAATATTAAAGAAAGCAGGGACCTGTCTTTTGAGAAATAGGAGAGGCCATCTTGCTCAAACCTGAAATTCTAGAAATTGTTGTCATCGATCTTTGTCTATCTCTCTAGAGGTACCATTCACATTGGATGAGGTTAAAGAAATTATTTGGGACTGTGATGGTAACAAAGCACCTGAACTTGATGATGTTAACATAAAAAAAGCTCACCTGGTCACATTTAACATATATTTTTTTCTGTGCTGTTGTTGTTAGGGTGTTGAAATTGCAGGGAGTTTCTAGTTGTTGTTGATGTAGGTATTGCCGGGGAAGATGGGAGGGACTTTTCATAGATAGAGAGAGCGAGAGCGAGAGCGAGAGCGAGAGAGAGACTGTGGATCTGGTAACATGTGAGGGTGAGCGGAAGGGACGGCAGCCATGATAGTTTTTCGTTTCTCTCCTTTTTTTCAGGTTAGGTAAGGGTGGCCTGAGTGGACAGATATACTTACTGTATACACACAGATACAGACATGGCTTATACTGGAACTTGATTTGGCAGGATTCCGGACGCTATTATCCTTTCCATGCTTTCAACCGCCGTATAAATATGTTGACAATGATGGAGGTTTTCATGTACCCCACCACCACTCATTGCTCCCATAGGCTCCACACCCCTCTTTCTTTTGTTTCTTATGAGAACGGACATGATCAATACCAGCTACTCAAGAATCGATTTGAGCTGCTGACACTCCCTTTCTCTCACATATTTGATTAATATAATATTCGTTTGTCATAACCCTTTTTCTTTTCTCTTTGTTTTGGCTACTTAACGTTCTTCACCAAAAGAGGCGGAACTAGACGCCGCCGCCTCAGCCCTCCCGAAGTTCAAAACAATCTATATTTCAAGTCTTAAAATGCGTATGTAAAACACCCTTTTAGAATGAAGAAACAAAGATATTCTTCGGTCTCTAATTCATAACCTTTTAATCTCATTGCTTATATTTATGAAATGATTGTTTCATCTTCACATATCTATCGGCTCTTCAATATAAAACTAATTTCTAGCTCCGTCATTGTTTATCGAAATTTAGAAATGTTAGACATGCTTCCCGTTGGGCTTGAATTGAAGGCTGTGGCACGTGCTTCTACACAAGAGGAGAGACGATATTTTGAAAAGAGAAGAGAAAGAAATGCTGTATTAATCTACAGAAATCACGTTAACAACTAGAACATTAAATATTTTAAAATTAATAAACCTTAATTATTTTATTTTAAATAAATCAGATCTCATGGATCTTAATTTAAATTATATAGCAGTTATATTTATTATAAAAACTATGTGATGTTTTAATTATTTTTTTAATTATATTTTTATGATATTTTCCAAAGAAAGAATTCATTTATAGCAATTTATTTAGTTTTTTTTAAATATTTAATTTTTAAAATAAATTATTTAACTCAAGTTATATATTTAATAATAATTTTAATTTAAGTGATTTTACTAACAACACAAAAATACAATTTATTACCAAACAATTTGAAGTATTTAATAGGACAATATAGTACAACATACATGGTCAATTTGCATTAATATGTAGAAAGATAATTATGTATCCATTAATATGCAACTCAATTATGTTGGAATTACCAAACACTACCTTAAAAGTTTCATTTTGTCAAGAAATGCAATATATGCGCGTCCATTGGAATACCTTGAAATGACGAATCCCCAATAACTAATATAATAAATAAATAGAAAACAAGAAAGAAAGATACCCGCGGAATATAACTCACACGGTTCCCCAAAATATTAATAAATAATTATAAATAATAAAATTTATCAAAATGTGTGGAAGCTCTATATATGCATGTAGTATATGAAATACGGGGAAAACAAAATTAGATGAGGGGGGCAGATCTATATATCATTTAATTGAAATATATCTTTGAAAAGCATTTCGATGAGAGGTATATATATATCAATCTCTTTTAGGATATTACCTGCACTGTAAGAACGTTGTTTTCAAGGATAAGTTCGACCAATTATATATAAGAATGCATGAAATACTATCAAGAATTTCACAAGTTAAGGATTTAGATAATTGGTAATTAATATCCATATCACAATTGAAAAGAAATCTAGAAACAAATAGTCAATTGAAAGAGGATATTCCTATTACAAATCCTACCAGTTGCATTTCTTAATTTTTGTGATCCACTAGAAATTTTGAGTTAATAAGTTCTTCCGGTGTTTGAGAGTCAACGTCTGTTTATAACTTGCGCGCGCGTGTATATATATATAAAATTTAAAAAGCGAATTAAGCTTTGCAACCAAGTATGTGACACTTTTATTTCCATATTTAATTTTGATTTAATTACAGTGCTAGGTCGTGATTCAAAATGTAGAACTTGAGAGGTTTTAGAAGCAGTGGAATACCTTCATGCAAATCCTACTAGCTACAAGTATTCCTCCGCTGTTGATTGGGACTCTTAACATTGGATCAAGCTAACGCCTGGTATAATGTGGATCCACTCTTTTGGTTTCGAATAGTTAGTCCATTAAAGTTCCTTATATCTAACACAAAAGAATATATTTTACTTAAGGGATAATTAAGATATAGGATAATTAAGCGGCGCCCTTCTCTTCTAATTTGCTATATTTGCACAGGAAAAAAAAAGAGAAGAAAGTAAATTCAATGGCCAATCCTTTCCTCTCTTTTCTTGCCCAAATTGGATCGGTGGATGTACAACATCCAAAGTCATCTTTTAAAAGAAGCATTTAGTGCGGATTGCAAGTTAAGACAAAATTAAAGAGTGATTAACGATAAACAAGTTCTTAATTTGCAACATAAACATGCTCGGCACCAGAAAACGTGTTTGTTAAGCTAAACATCTACGTTCCTTTTATTGTTAATTACATACGAGTTAAGTTTATTTTCATATATGTGTGTGCGCGCGCGCGTCCTTATTTATTCCACATTCAGTTCATAATAGTAATTACTAATTAGCTTTTGAAACTTGATTGACCGCTATTGATTATTATCAAGATTAAAACCTAACTAATAATTAATTAATAAGAATATACCACTAAGCTTAATGTGAGAAACGTGCATTAGATAAATGGTCAGGCAAATACATTATTATTTCAGAACTTTTCTAGCAAGACCGAACAAAATGCAAAAATGCATACTTTCAGAAAAGCGCACACACAATTTATACACACATATATATGCTAATTTGCATCGATCTTCTGTATGAATTATGTCACACCCCGAACCAAAAAAATCATGAAAATATTTATTTTTCAATCTCTAATTATTAAATATTTTTCAATAACCCTAATGTAGAAGCAAAAACTCAATTAAAAGGTTAGAACAAGGAACACACATCTTAAATCTCATTTGTGATTCTAACAAGATATATGCTAGCGTAAGTTAATATAAGGTTTTATTTCCTTTGTAGTCTCTAAATTATTATGCAATTACTAATAAGTACATTATTACTTTAATACCCTTAATTAATAAAAAGGGGCATAAGAAAAATCCTAATTAATTATATTATTTTATTTATGTTTACTTTTGTTTTTTCGATCCGGCTTTCACAATTAGAATATATATCGATCTGATGAGCTTCCACACAAAGGTATTTAATTCCTCTCATGTAAAGTTTTAGACAGTTATATATCCATTTCAGAACTAGTTATATATATAATCCTACGTATTTTTATTTTCTTTCTAATAATGTGAAAAACAAAACTTCTTACTAGCTAGGCCGACGTCTCGATAATATTTGAAGTACATTCTGATTTGTAGAGTTTGGTTTACTTATTATAGTCCTCTCCCACTTACACAAGGTGAAAAAGATTAGCCCTCAGTGTTATTTATTCAATTCATCTATTGACCTAAAAAAACCTAATAATCTTATTTGATAGACAGCTCAGATATTCCCTTGATTAATGGTCCGTACAGTAGATTTAGTGCATAAGAGGGAGATAAGCTGTAACTGTTCAAGTCTTTTACTTCTGTAAACTCTATTGGTACAACCTTAAAGATGGAAAGGAATAATTTCCAGGAAACATTCCCTTCGGCCCTTACTTGTTGACCAGACTAGTACATGGTGTGAAACACAGAAGGAGCAAGGCCAAGTACTGCTTGTGTTAGCTTGACACATGCACCAAATAAGCCAATAAGAAGAGGAGGAGGAGGAGGAGAAGGAGGAGGAGCAAAGCTTCTTGATTAGAATGGATCGAGGAGAAAGAGAAGTTCCAAATTACGGGCTACAAGTCTCTTTCTCTACACCACAAGCAATCCATGAGATGGGTTTTGTTCAATTCGAAGAAAACCAGGTCTTGAGCTTCTTGGCCCCTTCACAATCTTCTCAGATATCTCAACCGCTCAACACAAATACAACCACCAATATTCACATGGGGTTTACTCATAATGATGAGCAGGTATGTATTATTAACTATTCTGTAATGGAAAATCTTGTACAAGAAAGACTAGGGTTGTTAGATCTTTAATACTATTTATGTATCTTTCTTCCTTTTTTTTTTCCTTCTTTTTGAAAAAAACTTGGATACCGTTTCTCATCATATTACTCAATTAGTGTCAGTGATCCTAATTTTATCAGATACCTTCTTCTGTAATTTGGTATATGGAGTACAGCTTGGTCGGTTGATTTCGTACTATATTATTGTTATGGAAAATTTAGGTGGGGACAATGAATCCAAAGCCTTCCAGTGATGAGAACTGCACCGGTAATGCTAACAACGACGGCAACAATTCATGGTAACGGTATCCTTCTCTCTATGGCGTGTTTCTTTTCTACTGTTCTGTTTCAAAGAGCTATAGGCACTTTATTTTGTCTCTCTCCACAACAAGGACAAACATGCACGCCCACAACATATACATGGAAGAAAATATTCTTCAGGAGGTCTAAATTTCAGCAGAGTCCAAAGAGATCCACGCATCATATATGTGGAAGCGATAATTGGTTTCCACTTTGTCACCGTGTGCTTTTATATACAATAGTACATAACCTCTCTTTTCTTCTGTCGAAGTCTTGCTACCCTTTGATTCTTAGATCTTCCTGTCCAGCAATGGATCTCTTATCTTTTTACATATATTTAGATAAATACTTGTTCATTTTTTCTTCAATCTGAATCCCCCTATATGAACCAAGACAAAAAGGTTGAGCTAGCTAGGATTTGAAATCATATTTTTGCAGGTGGAGGAGCTCACCCTCAGAGAAAAACAGGTTGAAAGTGAGGAGAAAGCTTAGAGAACCGAGGTTTTGTTTTCAGACAAGGAGCGATGTGGATGTTCTTGATGATGGCTATAAGTGGAGAAAATATGGGCAAAAAGTTGTCAAAAACAGCCTTCATCCAAGGTAAATATGTCAATAATTAATCCCTGTCCTTTTTTCTAGGTTAATGCTTTCAATCTCAGACAGGTTCCATGCGCACCTGAACCAACATTAGCTATGGTTGTTGCAATTTGAACCTTTACTTCAAGCAACGCTTTCAAGTTTCAATATATTCAACACAACATTTATTACAAGTATTAATTTAATTTCAAACTTTGTCATTCTATAAAATAACCAGCATAATCTTCAATACCTTTTCGTACTAATAATTCTATAAATAATTAATTATATACAGTTATTTTAGTGAGTCTCTCATGCATAATGATTTTTTTTTTTAAGAAAGCTATGCGTATCTGTTTGATTTATTAGCCTAGGTTAATTCTTTTGGAAACAATGATAATGGCATTATTGTAGTAAATCATAGCAAAATTCACAAACACCTTGAAGCCGTGATTGCCAATAATTTGATTCAAAGTCATCCACAAGTAGAAAAGAAAGAATAATAGGACTACGGTGTGTCAGCCGTTTCTTGCAATCATTTGTCGGGGATGCCGAGAGAATACATAACAAAAAATTAATAATTATTATTGGATTGCTATTTAGTTTATTCAAATTTTATTTATATAAAAAATAATCTTAGATCTTAAAATTTTCTGATAGTATTAAATTAAGGTATAATAATAAAATCTTAAGTAATCATTTTTAGTTTTATTTTTTTGGTCTTTTTGTTTCTTCTTGTATTAAATTAGTTTTTTTTAAAATCTATTTTTTTTTTATCATACTCTGACTATTATGTTTATGTTCTTTTTAGTATACTCTTGATAATTATAAAAAATAACACAAGCAAGTAACTGATTAAGGATTGATGGTACTTCACTTGATCTTTGAACCACTAATTAATTTTATTAAAGATTTGATTGCTTTATATTTAATTAATATATTGCACAATTGAAACCAAAAATTAATAATTATAATGCAAAATGTTTTTACCACTATTTTAACTAGAAACCATCCTAACTTTTCCATCTTCCAAACATTATTTTGCAACCATTTCTATACTCTTCAATAATATTTTCAAGGAAAAAAGAAATGCTCTTATATTTTATTTTATTTATAAAAGAAACAACTTCTTTAAAGCTTTTGGAAGTAGAGGTAGCTACTAGCTACATTTTGATAAATCAGTCCAAACACACTCACGGACAAATTAAGACAGAGACATTGCCTTCCGAAAAATAATTCTATACTTAATAATTGCTAGAGTATCGGAGCAACACAACTGTACAAGATAATAGTATCCTAACTCTTAATCATTTAATTTAATTAAAGAGGCTCTAATATGATAATGTAGAAAATCTTAATCCAGCAATTTAAACAGGTGAATTCACATGAATTCACTTGAATCAATATAAATACACTCACACACAAAACATATACATTGCCTTCCAAGGAATACTAGTTAAGATCACTTACTAGCATAATTTAGCAACACACTTGTAGTCTTTTTGTAATTTTGCTGTGAGAGAACGAGAGTGAGTTAACCGAGTAATTTAATTCACATATGAAAACTACCCGTGACCTATAAGGTTAGGCTTTCAGCTTTGAGGCGTCCGTGTACACATAGAACTGCAACAATTGTAGCTTCTCTCCTTGCTCCTAATTATCTATAAAATGAGATGGAGATAGCTGGGAAATACCAACCTGTTGAGAGAGTTGCCTTTAGCCTTATCCAGTAAGACTTGAAAGGTAGTCTTCGCTCAGGAAATATACAATGAGCATATAATATCTAAGAAAATTGTCAATACTTCTTCCTTTTCTTTTTCTTTTTGACATTGAAAGGTCGAGAATAAGAGGAGCTAGAGTTTAGAAGGACACTGGGTGGTGGGGAATTCTAAAATGCAAAAGAAAGCTAATCTATATATATATATATATATACCCAGAACGTGGCAAGTGTTTGGGCTGAGTTACACGTGTTGCTGCCAGTGATATATAGGCAGACTTGAGCTATCACATGGAGCAAAGTGTTTAATCAGATCTTTCAATGGTAAATGCTTCCATTGAAAGAGGCGAAAGAGAGCAGGCAAAGCTTTCCTCTCTCTCTCTCTCTATATATATATATATAGATCGAGGGGAGTAGCTGGGCGGGCTAAACCTAGTGATACCTCACATTATCATGCATTTAGGATACAACAAAGTACTTATGATGAATTACGATTTTCTTTATTTTTCTTCTCATTTTCTGTTTGTAATAACGTGCTGGCAGGAGCTACTATCGTTGTACTCACAACAACTGTCGAGTGAAGAAGAGGGTTGAAAGATTATCAGAGGATTGTCGAATGGTGATAACAACCTATGAAGGGAGACACAATCACTCTCCATGCGATGACTCAAATTCATCAGAACATGAATGCTTTACCTCCTTCTAATACATGCTTTAGTTTAAGTATTAAGAAAGACATTGTTGTAATATTAGAATCATGTTGTATAACGTGTCATCAGCTTGTGACAATACTTGCTAGTACATGATTTTGAGGGGTTTTCATCTTCCCAAGATCAACAAATTCTGACAATTCTCGATATTCATTTATTTGGATATCAGTCTGAGAAAGATGTGTTCTCTTTATGGACTTCATTTAAAAGACTTGAATCATGGATTATGGAGGGACCTATATTAATTTCAGTAGTCCTAAGAATTTTTGGTAAAACTCGTATTGTCATTTCAATCTTGTAATAAGTTCGAGGTTAGTCTCTATGTAGTGAGACTCGCAAATGCCAAATGCCAAAATCAACACTCTAAAACTTGTGAGTAATTTAGTTTTTTTCACGTGTGACTTTGAATTGTTGTAATATATATATATATATATTGTGTTTTTTGGTTTTCTCTATAATTTTTTTGTTTTTTTAATTTTTTTATAAAAAAAATTTTATTGATTTTTTTAATATTGAGCTAATTAAGAATTTTAGTTTTGTAATTTTTTTCTTTTAAATATTATAAATTGTTATAGTGTTTTTCCATATAGTGTTTTTGTTATGATTTTTTTTAAAATTATTTGTCGATTTTTTTCCCAATTGTTTTTTGTTTTTTGTTTCGTATAAAACTATATTTATCAATTTTATTTTTTTAATATTGAACTGGTTAAGAATTTAGTTTTACAATTTTTTTCTTTAAAATACTATGAATTGTTACAGTCTTTCCCCATGTAATTTTATTTTTTATAATTCTTTTTAAAATTATTTATCAATTTTATTTTTTTAATATTGAGTTAGTTAAGAATTACAGCTATAACTTTTCTCACAAAACACCGTGGGTTACTATAGTATTTCTCCACATGTTTTTTTTTTTTTTATGATTGTGTTCAAAGTTGTATTTGTCTATTTTATTTTTTTTAATATGAAGTTGGTTAAGAATTTAACTTTGTATATATTTTTTTTAAAACATTGTGGATTACTACAGTGTTCCTCCACATGATTTTTTTTGTTGTTTTTGTTTTTTATAATTTTTATCTAAAATTATTTTTGTCAATTTTATTTTTTAATATTAAACTAGTTGAGAATTACAATTTCAATATATGGAGAAAACACTGTAGCTTTCCTCATAAATTATTGTTGATTGCTACAGTATTTTCCCCGCATGGTTTTTTTCATTTTTTTATGTTTTTTTTTCTAAAATTATCCTTTTCAATTTTATATTTTTTTAATATTGAGCTAATTGAGAAAATTACAATTACAAGTAATTACAAATAAAGCTAAATAATATGAGGTAAGTACTATAGTTTTCCTCATAAAATACTGTGGATTGTTATAGTGTTTCCCTATATTATTATTTTTTTATTTTTTTGTTATGATTTTTTTTTAAATTATATCAGTTAATTTTATTTTTTAATATTTATTTGTAATTATAACATTATCAAATACATTTATTTCATAAGCTTGCGGCAGCACACAACCATGCCATCTAGTTAAATCCTATAGCTTATGTTGTACAGATAAATGGATGACACATGTACAAATCTATAACGCAAACTTGTGAGGCAAGGCCATGAGGAATAGATTCTTTGTGAATTTTATAAACTCCACGATATCTTCGAACTACACACACACACTATTTATTCATTTATTGATCAGATTTAACCATTTATTAATTTTTTATAATTATATAAAAAAATTAATTATATCTTTTTAGAGTCTAATTATATAAAATTAGATTCTAAATTATAATGAAATACAACAATAAAAGATGAGGATTAAAATGTAAAACACTGAGAAAAAACATAACTCATCCTAAGTCATGATAATTTTTATTAAGATAGAGAGAAGATAAAGAAAGTTGCAACAAAATAGTTGAAAAGAGAGAAAATAGTTGGCAGTCGTGATTCCAATAAAAAAAAGAGTCAAGCTTGATTTCAATGGATTTAATTTAACAAAAAGAGTTTAATAATGATAGGCTTTCCCTATAGACATGCTTGAAAAGAAAGATTGAGTTTTGTTTTGAATTTTTAGGTTCAAATGATTTTGGTATTCTAGGGTGATTTTAGGGTGTTTTAAGCTTAGTAGGTAGCTTAGAAAAGCTTTTATGATGTTTGTTGTCTCTTTTTTTTATATATAAAATGAGTTGAAAATGGATTTTTAAACTACTATGATAGTGATTAGGGGTTTGTTTGGGAATGTAGTTGCAATTTTTTTTCAAGGTGTTTTTGTGCCGAAATGCATCTAAATGATAATTTTTATTTTTTTAAAAAATTATTTTTAAGATCAACATATTAATGCACACAAAAAATTATTTTTTAATAAAAAAATAATTTTTTAAAAATAATTTTTTTTAGAAATACGGTGCAAACATTCTCTAAATTCTAAGTCGGGAAATGGAAGGTGAGGTGTCACTTACCTTAACAGGTGACACATCGCCTCTTATAAAAGAAAACTAAATAAATATGGCCACCCATCTAGGATTTTTAAGGCTCTAACACATTAGGCCACTTAAGCCTATGCTTTTGGCCTAACCTTTTTTTTTTTAATAAAAAACCCTTCAATATTAGGTTATTGATAAAAAAATATTATTTTTTTCTTTAATATTAGGTTTATTTTGAATTAATGTTTATTTTTTTTATCATATACTTAAAATTATAAAAAAAAATTATTGAACTTATTAGAGTCCAAAACCTAGGTTACTAGTTTGAAAAGTTAATCCGAGTTGACTGGAATCGATCCAATATATCATCATCTTATATATATATATATATATATATATTATCAGCTTTGATTTTTGTTAAATTCATGTTTGATATTGTAGTAACTTTTGTGGTTGTGGTTTAAAAAAAGTTATTTTATAAAAAGTACTTTTGGTTAAGGTTGGTTTTATATTTATATATATTTGGTTAAAACTGTCATTGGAATTAAGGTTGAATGAAAAGTAATTTAATGTGTTTGGTTAAACATGCATTTCAAATTAAGGTTACAAAATAAATAAAAAAGATATATATTAATATTGATGTTTTAAAGTTAAATATTGTAGATTTAACTACCACCATTACATCATTAAATAAATGGTACTTCATATCAAATATTTTTTATTGTTCTATTAATTTATCTACAATTTCATCACTTATGAAATTCATCTGATAAGGATTACAATTTTCATGATTTTTTGAGCGTGGAACTAAATTAGGTAAAATATTAGAAAAATAGAATTATGATCAAATTCTACAAATGTTATATCATCATGCCATCTTCTTTGAATTTATGTAGTGTTGTTGAATAATATTAAACACTAGTTTTTTAAGTAAAACATAATTAAAAAAAATAAATTTCTTTTACCAGGTGAATAGTGACAGCCTAGCCAAAATCAATTAGGTTACATCAAAATAACTCTCATATAATTTAATTTCATACCTAGATTTAGAAAAGCGTTAAGTTGAGAGTTTTCAGATTTAAGTTGTTAGACTAGGTTTAATGACAATGTTAACCGCAACTTGGATATTCTTTTTCTTCTTCTTTTTTATGTTCAAAAAATTTAAGATTAACATGTAACATAATTCAGGAAATAAACTAGTATTATAAAAAAAGTAAGTGATAGGTGCTGACAAGATTCATAGGCCCTGGTCCATATTAATTATTTGTAGAATTACTAAAGCTCATTCACAAAAATAATTAGCCTTGGATGTTCCTTTGTTTATTGTGTATTGAATGGATTCTCTTTGACTAAAAGTTGAGCTATATAAAAATGCATCATTCTCGGCTAGTTAAGGGATCAAATTTGTAACAAAAAAAAAAGGAATCAAATTTACCTCATTCTTGCTATGTGATGAAGTCACGAAAAAAATACAAAAATGGTTTTTCAAGTTATGTCTTAGAAGAGTTTGAATGTGGAATTTACTCTTTAAAGGCCATGTTTTATATGAAACAAGTCCATTATAAAACAGGAGACACTTTAATACCTGAGTTAGTAAACATAAGAGTAGAGAATAATATATATGAAAAGAAAATAGAATAAAGTTGTAGGGAATGCTCATGTATGTAAAGCTTGTTGAATGGTTGTTGATTTCCCTTATTTTCTTATCAAGTGACAAAATTATTTGTAGACTTTGATTATGTTTGTTTACTTTATAAAGTATGGAGAGTAATGTTGCACATGTATGTTATATAATAAGTTGTTATTATTATTATGTTTTTTATGCTTGGCATAGAAATTGGTGATATTATTATTATTTTTTTATGCTTGGCATAGAAATTGGTGATTATAATGCCTTGAAATAGCCATTGATGTATAAATGTGATACTTATTTAATATAATAAAATATAGAGCTTGCACAAATAATTTGTGTATTGAACGCTCTTGAAAACTAAAAAAACACATAGAGATGTACGCAAAAACATATAGAGATGTACGCTGGGGTAGGGATAATATAGCTTAGAAAGGAAGAAAATAGAGAAAATAAAAGGAAAAAAAGAAGAAAACTTAGTTATTTAAGTTTGACTTAAAGGACTAGAAGGCAATTTCTCGGTGCATGTAATGCTCATGGTAGACGAGTAAGCAACCCATCATCTTTGAGCAACGTGAGTGACTCATTCTAAATTTACATGGTAACCTTCAGACACACAAACACACACATTTGTTAAGTTTGTTTTGTTAAGAAATTTCCAATAATATCAAGGGTGTCATAATCAGACTTTCAGTGTATCTCTAGTATTATATTCCTCTCTTTTTCTCTCACTCAGACACACAAACACACACATTTCTACTTTGGTTATTGTGCAACCTATTTTGTTTTTTTTTTCCTATATAGTTGGTTTTTCCTTTTTTTTTTCCTTAGCTATTAGATATAATCATCAACCTAGTTGTTGAATCTTTTTGCTTCTTTTTTAGTTGTTGGATTTGTCTATAAAATCTAGTTAACAATGTAAAATTTATATTTTTTAGGAGAATTATGCCCATTGAATAAGGAGGGATCTCTTGTGGATGTCTAGGATTTTAAAATCCTATTTGATATAAGAAAAATATAATCTAAGAGATTTTATGTTCAAATTAAATAGAAACAACATCAAAATAGACCTAGTATTTTAAAAAAAAAATGGTATAAACTATAACACATTATTTTTAAAAAAAATGGTATAAACTATAACACATTATCAATAACAAAGTTAGCATCAAATATGCAAGTAGTTAAAGGCTTATCATTCAATTGTGAAAGCTTTAAGAGATATCAAACAACATAAACGTTTTTAAGCTTTACCTTTAATAAAAAAGAAATTATCTAAATGTAACATCGTAACTGGTGTTAAATCAATGATATGTTTCAAAATGATTCACATATATCCAGAAAGAAATATTTAAAACTCAAAATAATAATAGAATGAAATATATTGTTATGCATCTTTTAGCTTTAATGATAGGGATGTTGCAATAAAATCTTGATCATATTTATTGCATTTACTACAAATCCAAGCTAAAAGATTTGTCTAGACTAGTATCTTTTTGTTGGTATACAATCTTCTGAAAAATGGGTTTGAGATTGTCATTATAAACCATCTTTTATAAAGTCTTGTTTTGTTTTTTATCATCTATAATATCAAACATGACCTTTTGATGACAATTGTCCTTGTTTGCATAATCAAAAGCTAGCTCTAACAATCACTCTTCCTTAAATTGATAAAAATATTTTCCCTTTACCATTATCCTTTATATAGATATGATAAAGTCATGAAAACAATTCATATAAAAACTAGGCTTTTCATTGGCTATGATATTGGATTGAGATGTGTGGGTTTAGATATGTGTTTTGTGTCTAGGCTTGATTATTCTTCAGAAAACAAGTTTCTTTTGGAACAAGGGACTCTCCAATGTTTAATTCATTAAATATAAAAACAATTAATATATAAGAAAAATAATGTCAAGATCAAGAGAGAATATGTATTGTATTTGAAAATATTCCATCTGAGAAATTGTTTTGTTTATATAATGACTCATAGTATTTATAAACCTTGGACATGTTAGCTCCACTCAAAACATAGAGAAATATATAATGATTGATTGGTAAAAATGTTTATGGCTATCATTGGTTGTAGTGTCCAGTTCTTCTATTAGTTAAGAGGTTGATGATTATTAGTGACATGTTAGCATTACATAATCATCTGCAAAGAAATAAATGTATATGTTGCATATAATATGGTGTGTGTTTGCATTACAACCATTGTTTATAAACATTATGTTAACCTTGCATAAAAATATATATCTATAGAGAATTTATCAATAAGCATAAAAAAATTTATGTGTGTGAATGATATATGACACCACATTTTGACCCCTCAAAGTTTTAAACAAATATAAAGGTGTGTGATGGCTCATGTTCTAAGAAAAAAAAAGGGGAGAAAAGTGTGTATGGTAGAGGGGAAGAAACCTAGTCAATATTTAAGTCACACCCAAATGGCTACAAATGGCCTTTTAATATATATATTTCCAACCACACTTTAAAAGACTACTAACTATGGATTGTATGCATTGTCCAATCACTAGCACATATTAATTATAGTGGTAGTAGTAGTATATGAAAAATTATCACAAGTTCAAATTACCTTAACCATTTTAGTATTTTAAAAAAGAATTACCTTTTTTTTCCCTTCTCTTTTAAATAAACACACTGATGTGTGGTCATGCTTCATTAGATCAACAAAATGTCAAGGGCTAGAAAATGATTGCATCATATGGTGTATTTCTTCCTTCTAATAGAAAAAAAAAGTAAGAGCATATTAACAAATAGTTAACAAAATTATTATAGATAAAAATATTTTTTGCATCGATAAATAAAAAAACACTTAGGTGATGTAAGAGTGTTTTAAAAATGAGATTTGAGACACAAACTAGACCAAAAAAATAAGGTTGACATTTGAACCATTTAACAAGATCATAAAAAACCAGAAAAAAAAATGGTTAAAGAAAGACAACAAACTTAAGATTCTAGAACATCAAGTGTGTAAGAAGAAAAGAAAAAGGTTACTTAGCTCAACCTGACCTAGCATGCCAAATATATAAGTAGTGTCATGAGACCTAGATAAATAAATAGAAAGAAAATAAAAAATTCAAAGTCAAATCCCAAATAAATTCAATGTCTAATGATGAAATTAAAAAGAAAAAAGATCGATTAAAAAAAATAAAAAACCAAGCAAACCCAACTTTGAGATCTAAATCATGCGAATGAGACAATTAAATAAATGAAAAATTGAAAAACATCATGATACTCAATTTAAAAACAACCTAATTTTGAAGGATGGAGCAAAAAATATTAAATTTTAAAAGAGAAACCCTAGAAAATCAATCCAACTCGCAAAACCGGTTTATATAATGATGAGAACAAGATAGATGAATAGAAATAAGATCATAAAAAATCATAAAGCCTATATATAAACTCAACCTTGAAGGATGGAATAAAGAAAAATTAATTTACAATCAATATAAAAGGATGATATCAGAAAAAATATTAATTTAGAAAACTTGTCAAGGAATATCCAACAAAAAATGATAAATAAAAATATCTAAAACAACTCATGTCATTTTGAAAATTCATAAGAAAATCATATAAAAGGCAAATAAAGAAAAAGCTTGATCTCTAATAATATAAATGATGAAATTAAAAATAAAATTAATTTAAAAATAAAAAAGTAAACCAAGTAAATCGAACAAGCCTTTTAAATCTAAGTTAAGATCTCAAATTTGCAACCTATTAAGTCTTGGATTTGGGCTAGATCAAGAACTTCAATTTTCAACTAATTTAATGTTTATTAGCCAAAGTAAATCCAATAATGAACAACAAATAAAAAGGCCCAAGAAAACATGGTTAATTTCCAAAATCAGTGAAAAATCTTACAAAAATAAAATTAATAAAAATAACAGAGTCTAATCTCTAATTGAATAAATATTAAAGGATGAAACTTTAAAAAAATGAGTTTCAAGAAAGGAAAAAAATCAAACAAATACAACAAACCTTTCAAATTTAGGTTAATCTCTAAAATATGAAGCCTCTGAAATCATAAATCTGAGCTTAGTCAAGAGCTTCAATTATCAACCAATCTAATATCAATTAAGAAAATCCGCTAAAGAAAAAAATTAATAGTAATAAAAAGAACGCGGATCAAATTTGACAGAAAAAAACTTAAGAATGATAAAATTATAAAAAGAAGTAGAATTAAAAAAATTATCTTAACAAACAGCGATAAAAAATAGAGACTAAATTAAAAAAATAAAATAAAAAAGGTGAAAATGAAAAGAAGTTCTAATTTTATAAATTTTTTTAAAAGAATTTCCAATATTAAAGAATCCAATAAAAAAACCAATTTAAATAATTATCCAAAACCCAACAAAAAATTAAAAATAAAAAGACCCAAAATAACTAAGATTATTTTCAAGATCAGTAAAATGTTCTACAAAAACAAATTAGAAAAAAGAAAGGGATTTAATCTCTAATTGAATAAATGTTGAATGATAAAAACAAAAACAAATAGCTTAAATAAAGAAAAAAAATATGAAAAAATTATAATAAACATGATATTATTCATGAATAGTAGTTTTTCTCTAGGTTTTTATTTTTCTAGATATTTTTCTAGATTTTTTCCAATGCCGTATATTTGAAAATTTTAAAAAAGAAAAGAGGATGTTTTTTTAACAATATTATAGAAGAACATACTCAACAAAATTTTATAGTTTTAAGAGTGTAAGGTATGAAGACAATGTTTATCTAAGAAGTTGTGTCTGTGTTTTGTTTAAAATGCAGATGCAATAATATTTGGTAACAAAAAAAAAAATAGATTATTGTTCATTGGTCCCATGAAATATTGCGTTTGGAACGCATGGAAAAAGAAAGCAAGTAGGAGCTGTTTTTTGCGACTATACCACGCTACACTGTTCAGTAAATAGTACAACATCACTCAATAGTCGTGTTGTTAACATGAACAATTTTTTTCTTTGAAAAACCAGTGAATAGTGTGAGTGAATTTTAATTCACTCACAATGTACATAAACATTTTTCTCTTGAAAAACCAGTTAATTAACAGTTTTTTTCAAAAAAACCAGTGCAGTTAATTGATTTCACTAGCACTGTTTACGTGAATGTAAACAATAATTTTTTTAAAAAATAGTTTAAGGTGAATTAAATTTATTTGTACTGTAATCTTAATTTTATTCCTAATAATATTTTATCTAATTTTATTACAGGATCAAAGAACCATGAAAACTGTAGCTCTTATCGGATGAATTTTGTATGTAATGGAATTGTAAATAGTTTAATGGAACAATAATTTTTTATATATATAAAGTATGATTTATTTCATGATGTAATAGCAATAGTTAAATCTACAATATTTAAATTATAAATTATAAATATTAATATATATTTTTTAAAATTATTTTATAACCTCAATTTCAAAAGCATTTTTAACAAAATACATTAAATTACTTTTTATTCAACCTTAATTTTAACTATAGTTTTAACCAAATATATATTTTTTCAAACTAATTTTAATTAAAATATTTTTTATAAAATAACTTTTTTCAAACCATAACCATAACAATTATTACAATACCAAACACCTCATTCCCTGCTGATTACTTCCCTTACTTCCCTAAAGCTTCTTGGCGTTTCCTTCTCCTCCAGCACCCAATCGACAGCACCTCTCTTCTATAATGTTGGTGGCTCTTGTTCTTTGAATAAGTTCGAATAAGGCATGTCCTGAGCACCCGCAAGCTCCTCCTTCAAGGATATCTGTATAAAATTAAGATATTATTAAATATAATATAGGAATAGAGAAACACGATCAATTTGAACCAACCAATTTCCATAGAGATCTCAATTGTTCATCATCAAATTAAGTATCCCGATGTGAATAGGAACTAAAAACCATCAGGTTGCTTAATATAGAGGGTATGTTTTTTTCTTTTTCAAGGGGTTAATTTCACATTGCTGAAGCAATTAATTGAGTGAAGATTGATCTTCACACTTGTTTTACATTTTTAGGTAGTTTAATGATTTTTTTTCTAATGAGTCTACTCAATAATTAAATATAAGTATCATATATTTTTTAGATTTTATTTTAATTTTTTTTAAAACTTGGCCAAACTAAACCTCAACGCCTTATATCAAAAGTCAACTCGAGAAAAGCTTTAAAATAATATATTTTAATTTTAAATTTTTATAAAAAAATTTAAATTTAGTATTTTCTTTCTTGAACTTGAACTTGATTTTTGTGTTGGATTATTTTGTGAATTTATAGCCTCAAGAATTTTTTATTTTCTTTTTAATTCAATATTTGATGATATTTGAGATTTGACCTTCAATATTCTAATTTTTAATTTTAATTCTTAGCTTTTTTTATTAAATTTTAATTTATTTTTAATTTCATCATTGAATCCCTAATTTTTATTTTTATTTTAATTTCATCAGAGTTTGCTAATATTTTTTTGTTCATTAATTTTTTTTTAATTTTATCATTTTATATTTTTATTTTTAGAGATCAATAATTATTAATTTTTTTTTAATTTATTTTCTATAACATTGAGTCGTTAGGTTTTTTTTTTTTAGAATTCATTTACAATGCTTAAACATTATATTTTATGTTTTTTTTAAATCAATCTAGCCTACAGTAAAGTGGATCTCGATTGCTTTATAAAGCAATCGAGTAATATCTATTTTACTCAATTATCTTCTAAGAAAGAGT